ATTTGAATATTTTTTGTTTATTGACTTACATAGGTTATGTACCTACAACACTAATATTATTTCAATTATGTACTATGTAAATTCTTTTGATTTAATTTATAGTTAAATATGTCGTTCACTGAACCCGAAGCCTCATATCACGATCATTATATTTTTATTTGATCATTTATTGAATATTAATTTGTGCTTTATTATTTTGTATATTAAAATATTTGAAATATTTATATATTTTTTAGATATTTGAGTATGTTTATAATTTTTAATATAAATTATAGAATTGCATATACTTACCGGGTCATACGATTCAATCAGTGATTCACTGATTGAACCAGTGACCCTGTACCTAGACCGAGTTAATAATCGAGCTGATTTTAATAACATTACTTAGGGATCTCGCTTGTAATATTGTTTATGCTACATGAGATAATTCTTCTCATGTAACATGAAAAAATTATTATTATTATTATTTTAATTATTCAGTGACTTGGTTCCCTTCTACTAGCAAATGCGTCAATATATTTTCATCGTTTTTTAATACTCTATTCCAGTGTTTTAAAACCCGACTCGGACCGGCCGGGTCGACCCGGGACTCGGTGACCCGGTGGGTTCCCCGGTCCGAGCGGGTAGTTGGACCGGTTATGCAGTCAGCCCGGATTGGACCGGTTGACCCGGCCGAAACCCGGTGACCCGGCGACCCGGTTGACTCGGGTTAAACCGGTTTTTCCTTCTTTCTTTTTTTTTTTGGTAAATTTTTTTGTTGTTGATAAGAACTCTTGAATTAAATCATATTCATATTTTATGATGAATATGATTAAAAGTAAGGAGAAAATAATAAGGTATTTTAGATTAGTGTAGTTCGTTTATGTAATTTAGTTGCATCTTATAATGATCTCATGAAGTTAAGTGGTGATAAACATTGATGGTCTCATGATCTCATCTCAACGGTGGACACTTTTTTCTTATAGTGTATATTTCATGCATACTATTTGTTATCATAATTTAATTTATCCGTATCATGTCAAGCACAAAAAGTGCATTTAACTTATATTGCATGGTTTAATCCAATATTAGGATACGGTCTAGAGCTAGAAGCTTAGAAGTATATAATATTTGCTATCATTGAAAACCAATTTATTTCTTGAAGCTCATTGATGGTTTTCTTATATAAATTTTTATTAATATAAGTAATATTTTTATATTTTTAATATGTGAACAGTAAAACCGGTTCAACCCGGTTGAACCAGTGACCCAGTACCTCGACCGGTTCGATGACCGGTCCAAGTTTTAAAACACTGCTCTATTCAATGATAAAAAAAAGTTACGAAGCCATAATAGTTTACATATCAAACAGCTATAAAATGATTAAGTTATGCAATTATGATTGGTCTGAGTATTTTATATTAGATTATGTGTTTAATTTCTATCTATATATCCAAAAAAGAATAAAATGATAAAGGTATATATAATTAAATTTTAAATTTGAATTTTAAAAAGACTTATTTTCATTTTTAATTTTGTGTGTGTGACTAATTTGATTTGGGGTGAATCAAAGATTAAGATTTTAAATCTCTCCTAAAAATAATGTTAAAAAATATCAAATACATACTTTCACTCCACTTGTTCAACTCTCATACATCAACTTAGCTATTAGTATTTAATTATATTTTTAACTTTAGAACTCAATACTTAATATAGCCGCTAGCCGCTAGCCGCCACCGAGAAAGTCCATGATCGAACACGACAGGTAATATAATATACTATATTGGACTGCAAAAGAATGAGTTGTATTATAATTAATAACTATAATATAACTTTCAAACATGTTACTTAGGTTATTTTAGTTTTTAGAAATTTTCTTTATATAATTATTTATTAAAATATTCAACTTGTTAACACTAAATTATATTTTTTTTTCTTATTATAATACAAAGGAACTAGCGCCACTTCCTTGACCTGCTGTGTAGTTTAATGGTTAAAGGACCAAAAGCAAATACATCAAGTCGTGCACAATATTCAAACACACATGCGACTCCAAACTTAATTATTCTCATGTTGCGTAATAAAAAAATCATCTTCTACGGATCTCATTTACTTTTTCCTTTTTCTTTCTTCTTGACAATGGATGTCATATGCACTAAGTCTGTTAAAGATAATAATTTTCTTCTGCTATATGAAAAAACTATTCTCATAAAAAGTTTGCATCTTACACTTGCCACAGTAGATTAGACTGTCATGATGAGTGATAATACTTTTACATTTAAAAGTTCGATGACACATCTCATATATTTTAGCTTTTAGTGTATGTTTACTACTAATTATTTTTTTTTTAAAATTTAAAGCTGATAAAGTAATTACTTTTCTTAAAAATAAGTTAATTCAAATACATACTTATACTTAGGATTTGTATATTTTTCCTAAGAAAAAGAATTATAAATTCATGTTCTTTCCTTTTCTTATAAAATAGAGGTACAAGTTCTCTACCAAATAAAAAAAAAACAGAGGTACAAGGTAAAATAAATAATGTTATATTATACATAAGAAATATTACAGTACCCTCTTATTTTTTTTTTGGTTTTATAAAAAGATAAAGAGAGTATATTAAAAAATATATTTTTATAATAAAAAAGAAAGTTAAAATGATCTAAAAGTGATATATATATATATATATATATATATTATTTTTTAAATAAAAATGTAAAAAAAATGAAGAGTAGGAATAATAATAATGATAAACATTATGTAATTGTTTTTACTCTATTTATTTGAGAAAAAAATAAAATGAAGTATATTAAAATATTTTTTAATTTATTTTTGTCTAGATACAAATTATAAGAATGTTAAAAGTTATTTTTGTTATCTTTGAATATTTAATGATAGGTGAAATGAAATGGAAAGGAATGAGATAAAATGAAATAAATTTTTCACATAATATTTCATTATGAAAAAAAGTCAAGTTTTCATTCTATGTATAAAAATAAAAATAAAAATAAAACAAAAAAAATTCATTCTGTTGTATATAAGTAGAGGAAAAGGTTCGTTTCATCTGATTCCATCTTGCACTCTCTTACCCGCAGATGAAAAACTGAGGTATTAAGTGAAATGGAATACATTATATCATGTGTCATTCTATTATTAAACCCGACTTGGTTACTGAGTCAATCAAGTTACTAGGTTATTGTATTAATCAGTTGGTTACTAATTCAATTGTATGATTTGGTAAGTATATGTAAATTTATAATTTATATTAAAAAATTATAAATATACTTAAATACAAAATATAATACCAATTTCAAATATTTTAATATGAAAAGAAATAAATCACACATCATTGTTCAATAAAAGATCAATCAAACATATAATATTTGTGATATTGGTGTTTCAGGTTCAGTAAACGACATCTTTAACTATAAATCAAATTAAAATTTTCTGCATATTGTATAACCAAGATAATATTAATGATGTAGGTACATAATCTATGTAAGTTAATAAGCTACATATCACTAAAATATTTTAAAAGAAAACAAACCATTTGTGAATGAGAGTGAAAAAAAAAGAAAGGCATCAATTGATGAGAATAGACTATTTTTTTTTACGAACCGAGTTGGGTCACCGGTTGAACTGACAAAGTCACCGACTTTTACGAAAATTGACCAGGTTGCACCGGTCACACCAATTTTGTAACATTAGCGGTGAAATAAAAAATTCGAACAAGGTACGATTCACCGATTTTCTGGTCCATATATGATTTTTCGGAAATACTATTCTTCTGGCACAGCAGAGTGAATAGTATTTCCTGCTGAGACATTAAAGATTGAATTTTTTCTTTTTCTTTTTTTGTTTTAAAAAATAATGGGACCCACTGATATTTGAGTGTGTAGGAAAATTAAACTTATCCACTGTCACATAAGAAAACTAAACCCCATGATTTTTATAACATTGATTCCATCATATTTTAAACAACTTAAATAAAAATTATTGTCATTTCATTTTATTCTCGCACATTTTTTCTTTCTTTCTTTTTTCTATATATAAATTATTTTTAATATTTAATGATGGATATAATGTAATAGATGAATAGAATAAGATGACATAAAATAAAATTACTCTATATATATTTTACGATGGAAAGAAAAAATAACTATTTTAAAAGTAAATAAAATTATAAAAAAAAGTTAATAAATAATAATTCAATTCCATTTTATACTCTAAATTAAAATAAAACATTAAATGAAATGAAATAGGTTGATATTATTATATTTATTTCGTTCTTCTTTAAATAATGACAAAAGTGATATGGCTCCATTGCCGGACATTTAATTCCTTTACGTGAGTAAAACAATAGCATTATAGTTTCGATCCAACCAGCACATAAACAAATAAAGTCAACATTCAACGAATGGAACCTCTCATGTTAGCCAATAGCCATAGATCAATGGTTAATAAAGTATTACAAACTTCGTCATTACCATATGAATGAAGAGTATTTCGTTTCTTATCTCGGTATGAAATTAAAAAGTTTACACCAAATATTAACTATAAAGTTGATATAATGATTATAATTTATTGAATCATAATTATTAATTAATTAATAATTTTTAGTAAATTATAATTATTAATAGATGAAAATTAATAATTAAAATTTGGTGTAAAATCTATTAATTTTACACCCGTGTTAAATTATTCTATCCAAATCAAGGAAAATATTTGTAGTGTCGCAAGAATCACACTATTTCGTTTCATCCTACAACAGAATTTTATTATACTGAAAATCTTATTCCGGATCCTAACTTTTTTTTTTTTTTTTTTAAGCGTAAACTTCACACTTAATTTATATATGCACAGACAGAATGGTAGATAAAAAAGTGTTGTCCCGTGACATCACAAAGAGCCAAACCATAAATCAATCGCTGAAATCTTTCCAATAAGGCAATAACTAACATATTCAACAGAACTCGGAGAAAAGAAGCCAAGATACCGATCTGAGAGTGAGAGAAAGCGCCATGCCGAAGAACAAGTGTCTTCCCGAAGCACTTACAGAATCGACACGTGTAAGCGGTGCCAATAACAGCTTCCACTTTTCATTAGCTACCATAGTTTTCTGCTATGTTTTTGCTTCCCCTGTTCCGCTTCTCGCACTTCCTCACCCTTCCAATTCATCCTCTCTATCGCCCTCACCCACTTTTTCCGGTCCAAACATGGTACCTCTCTCACTCTTCATTTGAATGTTACATTACTTACATGTTGGAAATACTAAATCTAGACATATTCTTATATTTTTAATCAAAAATCGATGTACTCATTGTCCGTAAATGAATTAAAAATTCCATGCAGTTTTACTGCTTTAGTCCTCGCAGTTTCACCTCCATTTTTGTACTTCAATGTACAACAGATGACAACCTTAAAAAGACTACGGAAATTATTCTGTGAGAAATTGCAAAAAAAAAAAGTGCAGGTTAGTTTCTGATTGCTTAAGAATTTGGTTATGGACGTTGACCAAAACCATGTTACATTTGGTTATGGACGTTGACCAACAATATTTGTGACTGATTCAATAACTAAGGTTTAGTGTGATCAATTGTAACATTGATTTGGTGCCCTATGTTCTGGCGCGAGTGTTGTAAGCAGTCCTCTATAACACGTTTTTTTTTGTTTGTTATAAATCAGGGAAGTAAGAATCAATGTCAATTTTCAGAGAAGAAATATGAAGTTTCCTGCCTAAGATGTTCCTTAGGTTTGCTTGATGCCAACTTCTTCGAGGATAAACAGGTAGTTTCGTTGACTCGTTGACTTGTGAGTTTGTTATTACTATGATGCTTGGTGGTGACGATATCTGTTCGTCTTAGATTGAGGAGATAGCTAAAGGTGCAAAGGAGTTCAATATTCCAATTATAATAGCCAATCGGAAACTTGTAGCTTCTGAAAATGGAGGGCTGCATTATCCTTCTCCTTTAGTTTTCAATGCTGATTGGGACCATCGACCAGTTCATTCTGCAAACAAAAGGTTCAACTATCCTTCGATCTCTGGGATACAGAGACCTGAATCTGAAGAAGATATTGCCTTTATGAGTGTAAGTGATCCATTGCTGACAGAAAACTAATTTGATTTTGATTATATCTTATATAAACATTTTATCATGAGTTACTGTTTGGTGATTGGCCTTTTTTTTCCCCATATTTCAAACCAGGTTCTTGAGTTAGGTGAACTCATTAAAACAAAACAAATTACTTCTCAGGAGCTTACACAAATATTCTTGCGGAGATTGAAAAAGTAGTGCTGGAATGCTAATTTGCTAGCAATTGTTGTAATATGTATTGTGTATTTTTGGTGAGGAGAATTTCAGCATTTGAAACTTATACTTCCTGCTTAACTATGCCATGTGGAATGAACACCAGGTACAATCCTATTCTTGAAGCTGTAGTCACTTATACTGAAGAGTTGGCACACAAGCAAGCGAAAGCGGCTGATGAGTTGCTTAGCCAAGGAGTTTATCTCGGTAGTTATTTTTTCCTAGCATGTGATGTTGTGAATATTCAAAAGGGATTATTTGTTTTTAACTAATTTACCTTCGCTTGATACTTTTAGTTATAGAAAGATCAAGATGGACCCATGCATTGTTCTGGAACCCTAACCATTCTAGTATTATCAAAATAAGATTCCTATACATCCTGAACAACATATATCAGCAAAATCACTTTTACATTATAAAACAACTTCTTATGAGTGATTACAGGACTAACTAGAATTTAGGTCAGTCTATTCCATACCTTTTAATTGGGGTCATCTGTTTAAACAGAGCTGTTGCAGAATATGAAGTTTTCAAGATTAGAAAGTTGCCACCTTCTACTATCTTTTAGGATGAACTATACAAGAACTGGAGTATTGAAAGAATTTTTAAAATTAAATTAAATCTTGGTTTTCATTGAAGGGCCTCTTCATGGAATTCCTTATGGATTGAAGGACATAATATCAGTGCCCAATTATAAAACAACCTGGGGGTCAAAATCATTCAAAAATCAAGTTATTGACATGGAAGCTTGGGTCTATAAGAGGTAATATATACCAAAAATGTAAATCTACAACCATAAACTATATTTACTGCTAAAATTTTGTGTATAGATGATGATGTTGTTCACCACAGGTTGAAGTCTGCAGGAGCTGTTCTTGTTGCAAAGCTTGTTGCTGGATCATTGGCATATGATGATATCTGGTTTGGTGGAAGAACTAGGAATCCATGGAATATTGAGGAATTTTCTACAGGGTCATCTGCTGGACCTGCAGCAAGCACCTCGGCAGGTACATTGTTTCTGTCTTTGTTTTTTTTTACTCCCTTAAATTATGCATGCTCATATTGGATCATCTTTAAAGGTCATTTCCATTATATGGTTTATTTTATCAATTATTGGTCAGAATCTGCTTAAAAATTTATTTCGGTTTCCTTTATATATTTGATTAATCTGTGTTATTGGGTTATGTGATTTTGTTTACTGTACTATAGGTATGGTTCCATTTGCATTTGGTTCAGAAACAGCTGGATCCATAACTTATCCCGCAGCTCGATGTGGAGTGACAGCATTACGCCCAACTTTTGGTATAATTGGTCGAACTGGTGTAATGAGCATATCAGAAAGCTTGGTAAAACTCAAATTGTCTGGTTCTTTTATTATAGGATGTTGTGAAATTGTGAATATTAAACCGATGTGTAATCTTTCTACTAGGATAAGCTTGGGCCTTTCTGTAGATCTGCAACTGATTGTGCTGTTGTTCTGGATATTGTTCGGGGAAGAGACCCTGATGATCTATCGTCAAAAAATAGCTCCCTTGATGATCCATTCCTGGTTGACATTACTAAGTTGACTGTTGGATATCTTGATGATGCTGAAATGGAGGTTAGTTATCCAAGTAATTTTGCAAGTACATATGGTTCAAGCTTTGACATCATATATATTGCCAAATTCCATGAAGACATTTGCATTTCTTGAATGTTGTTAGGATAATATTATGAAACTAAACTTCTTTTGCCATGACAACCATAGGTTGTTCATGTTCTTGCATCTCAGGGTGTCAAGATGGTTCCTTTCGAACTGAATTACACAGTTGATTCCGTACAAGGTACCTTAAATTTCACAATGGATGTTGATATGCTGGCTCACTTTGATCAGTGGCAACGCTCAGGCCAAGATAATGTGTATGAAGCCCAAGATCAGTGGCCCACTGAACTAAGGCGTGCTCGCATAATTCCAGCGGTGGACTATGTACAGGTCTTTTATTTCCCTTAAATAACAGCATGTTTTATATGAAGAATTTGCTGCATTTCCCTTTTGCTGTTTTGCATATTTATTTTGCTCCAGACAAAGGAAAAACTAGGGAAATATAAGACAAACGCGAGTAACTGATTCTCTTTGTTAATTATCATATCAATTATGATGGCTTGTACCTCTATTTTTATGTTGCTGGGTTTGGCAGAAAAATCAGGTTAATGTTTGCATAACATAAATCGATAATTCAATATCATTATATTATATTTAGCTTTAATATGTTGGCGTTGGGATTTAAATAATTGTATGCAGGCACAAAGAACACGGGGAAGGCTAATCAAAGAAATAAGAGAGTCTTTCACCGTGGATGCATTCATTGGCAATGCAACTGACTGGGAGAAAGTTTGCCTAGGAAATCTTGTTGGTTTACCAGTCATAGTAGTGCCAACAGGATTTACTAATATCTCTGATCCACCACCTGGTGGAAGCAGAAGAAGAACTACTGTCACTACCGGCATTTATGCTCCCCCTAACCGTGATCACATTGTAAGCTTGTGACTTCAATCTTTGTTTAATATCTCCTATATTTTTTACTAGGATAATAATATATAACTTGGTCATCAATTTTTCATTATGGTATCAATCTTTTTTCCTCGCTTTTTGTTTGCAGGCTTTGGCTTTGGCAATGGCTTACCAAGCAGTCACCAATCACCATAAACAGCGCCCGCCCATCAATAATCTTGGTCCTGATGATAAGATTCCTGATCAACCTATTTACCCTCCCAGGGTATTACGTACTTGAGCAACGGGTTAAAACGGCTTCAGCAGCACTGAGTTATACTATACATGTACTCTGCTACCAATTACAGCCAAGGGCTATAGTAATTTTGTTGTTGTGTGTCCAGTGGCGGAGCCACGGTATGATTAGGTACGGCTTGGACCCCACTTACATTTCAGTAAATTTTATTTATTATATTATAATTATATAAGTAACTATAATTGGGCCCTATCTCAAATTGTAAGTTGGCCCTAACTAAATTTATAGCAGTGTTAACAGACGAGGATTTTGAGCTGCTTTGTGTGTGTGACCAGATAACGTTTTCTTCTTAATTTCTCATTCTTTTTTCATCATTTTCTAATTAGTATTTTCTTCAAAAAAAAAATCTTATTCGCACTCATCCCCTGGAACCCAGCCATTTTACGACAATGTACGATGTTTCGTTCCTTTCTCAAGATTTTACGGATACATGTTCTTAGAATATGCATTGGTAATTATATTATCCGATAGGGAAACAATTGATTTGCATTTTTGAACATTGTAAAAGAGAAAAATTTTGTCTTTGCTCATCATAATTGTTTATTGGGTGTTTCAAACATGAGTGAAATTCATGCCCTTTTTTTTATTTACAACTTTTTGTGTGGTTGTTTTATTGATTTTATTTCTTTTGAAAAATAGAGTGTTGTTTTACGTTTACTTTTTTTTAAAAAAAATAGTTTAATGTAGAGCTATAGTTGGTATTGGTTATGAAATTAAATTGTTTCTTGGTGTTATTTGTATTTCATTTCGCAACAGGAATAAAATTTTTGGCGATTAATCAGTGAAAACTGTTAAAGAGAAAATTCAATGAAGATATATGTATATATATGAAGTAGGAAATTTTCTTGTACATACCCATTAGTAAATTGTTTGTTTTTTTTTTTGTGTTTCTAAAATTTTTTAAGTATTAAAACATTGATTAAATGATTTATGTGGATCTAATGTCATTTAAATGATTTTAGACATTTATCGCTGATTGTTCTATGTTTCTTTTTAATTGTGAAGTTTGCTCTGTCCCTTTATGTTCATGTTCTTCACAGGTTACGACTAGGGGTGTAAATGAGGAAGTTTAGGCCTGCAGGCTTTGGCTTTAATAGCCTAAGCTTACCTAAAATATTTAGAGCTTTTACTGACCTATTAGCCTATTAAAGGCTTGATTTATTGGTTTAGCCTGACCTATTATAAAAAAACTAAAAAATCTAATGCGGCCAGTAAGGCCTACCAAGTTGCAAACTAAGGGGATGTACTGGATTAGGATTTCAGAGGATTTTAATGGATTATTTTTGGACAAAAAAATTCATTGGTATTCAATTAGGATTTTAAAGGATTGAAAAAAGTCATGTGGTATTCGATTAGGATTTTAAAATTCAGGAGCACGGACACACGAGTTTTTAAAAAATTTGCGTGTCGGACACTGACACGTTTCGACACGCGGTCAATATTTTGGGACACGCGGTCAAATCTCCGACACGTTCCAACACGTTTTTTCGATAAGCAGTCAACTTTTTTCGACACTCGGTCACGCTCTGACACAATTTTTTTTAGTCTTAATTTTATTTTATTAACTAAACATTAAAAAATTGATTTATAAATCAATTTTTTTCTGTTATAAAATTTGACATAAAAAATTATTTTTATTTTTTTTTATGTTATAAAATTTGAATATTTGATTGGTTATATGACTTATTATGGACTGTTATATGTATTAAATATAAATTATATTATATATTAAAATTTTATTTAATGTCAAAACGTGTCCCAACGTGTCGAAATATGACATTTTTTAGAATTAACGTGTCGGCGTGTCGTGTCGGTGTTGGTGTCGGTGCATCATAGTTTTAAAATATTAATTTAGACTCCGTCCAAATCCGTTGGTATTCAATCAGGATTTTAAACAAAGAAAAAAATAATATTGTGGTATTCAAAAATCTGACGATTTTAATAGATTTTTCATTGGTCTGGATTTCGTGAGACTTTTTAGTGAGAAATGTAAATAAGATGTCTCTCTCACAATCTCACCTAACTCCTAGGATTTCTTGATTTTTCTCTATTGCAGTGTCTCACAATCTACTCTAGCATTTTCTTAAAGCCAAGGTATGTTCTTTTTTGAATCTCATATATTTTCTCAAGTTTGGGTATTCCTTCTTCATGATTAATGATTGTGTTTGTCGTATGCATTTACCAGGTTTTGGTATTCCTTCTTCATGATTAATGATGTGCTTCATTTTTTTTAACAGAGTTGTATAGAGTTGACGATAAGCATGTATCTAATCTCTAAAATTGAACTAATAAGCTTACCACATACATTCTTTGCCGACCTTCTTCTTTTGTATATTGTTTGGATTATAATGAGAATAAAATCCTAATATTCTTTCACCAAAAAATATCCTAATATTCTTCATGTTTGGCAATGATACATATTAAAAATCTTAATAATCTAGTGGCAAGCTCTATTAAAAAACCTAATAATCCTAATATTCTTCGTGTTCAATCTTCGTCATGCATCATTGAGAAATGTAACTTAGAGGATATTTGGCATATTTAAATCACAGTACAAAAAAAATTTTGTCAGCACCTTCATTTCCATTTAAAACACAAGCAGAGCTTGTGCTAGCATGTGTAGCACAACATAACTTTCTTCGCAAAGAATGTCGTTCAGATATATTTTCAATTGAATCAATAGTTAATGAAGAAGATAATTTTTAACTCATTGGTCAAACCCAAGAGCAGGAATAAGAAGATGTGAATATTCAGAAGGGATTATTTGTTTTTAACTAATTTACCTTTGACTTAATACTTATAGTTATAGAAAGATCAAGATGGACCCATGCATTATTCTAGAACCCTAACCATTCTAGTATTATCAATATAAGATTCCTATACATCCTGAACAACATATATCAGCAAAATCACTTTTATAGTATATTCCATTACTTTTAATTGGGGTCATCTGTTTAAGCAGAGCTGTTGCAGAATATGAAGTTTTCAAGATTAGAAAGGTTCCACCTTCTACTATCTTTTAGGAAGAATTATACAAGAACTGGAGTATTGAAAGAATTTTTAAAATTAAATTAAATCTTAGTTTTCATTGAAGGGCCTCTTCACGGAATTCCTTATGGATTGAAGGACATAATACCAGTGCCCAATTATAAAACAACCTGAGGTCAAAATCATTCAAAAATCAAGTCATTGACATGGAAGCTTCGGTCTATAAGAGGTAATATATACCAAAAATGTAAATCTACAACCATAAACTATATTTACTGCTAAAATTTTGTGTATATATGATGATGTTGTTCAACACAGGTTGAAGTCTGCAGGAGCTGTTCTTGTTGCCAAGCTTGTTTTTGGATCATTGGCATATGATGATATCTGGTTTGGTGGAAGAACTAGGAATCCATGGAATATTGACGAATTTTCTACAGGGTCATCTGCTGGACCTGCAGCAAGCACCTCGGCAGGTACACTTCTGTTTTTGTGTTTGCTTATTTTACTTCCTTAATCTATGCATGCTCATATTGGATCATCTTTAAAGGTCATTTCCATTATATAGTTTATTTTATCAATTTTTGGTCAGAATCTGCTTAAAAATTTATTTTGGTTTCCTTTATATATTTGATTAATCTGTGTTATTGGGTTATGTGATTTTTTTTATTGAACTATAGGTACGGTTCCATTTGCATTTGGTTCAGAAATAGCTGGATCCATAACTTGTCCCGCAGCTCGATGTGGAGTGACAACATTACGCCCAACTTTTGGAACAATTGGTCGAACTGGTGTAATGAGCATATCAGAAAGCTTGGTAAAACTCAAATTGTCTGGTTTTTTTATTATAGGATGTTGTGAAATTGTGAATATTAAACTGATGTGTAATCTTTCTACTAGGATAAGCTTGGACTTTTCTGTAGATCTGCAACTTATTGTGTTGTTGTTCTGGATATTTGATAGCCTTCTTCGAGGGAAGAGAACCTCCAAACCCTAAATTGGCTGAATTCTCAAATCTCTGTATTCATTCTGAATGCAAATGAGGTTTTTTTTATACAAATGTCCTAACAGAAAGATAACATAGCGATAAGATTCCTACGCATGACTCCACTACAACAATAAACTTGGGCCTTTCTGTAAATCTACAACTGATTGTGCTGTTGTTCTGGATATTTGATAGCCTTCTTCGAGGGAAGGGAACCTTCAAAGCCTAAATTGGCCAAATTCTCAAATCTCTGTATTCATTCTGAATGTAAATGAGTTTTTTTATACAAATGTCCTAAAAGAAAGATAACACAGCGATAAGATTCCTACGCATTACTCCACTACGATAAGATTCCTACGCATCACTCCACTACGATAAGATTCCTACGCATCACTCCACTTAATATCAGTGCCCAATTATAAAACAACCCGGGGGTCAAAATCATTCAAAAATCAAGTTATTGACATGGAAGCTTGGGTCTATAAGAGGTAATATATACCAAAAATGTAAATCTACAACCATAAACTATATTTACTACTAAAGTTTTGTGTATATATGACGATGTTGTTCAACACAGGTTGAAGTCTGCAGAAGCTGTTCTTGTTGCCAAGCTTGTTTCTGGATCATTGGCATATGATGATATCTGGTTTGGTGGAAGAACTAGGAATCCATGGAATATTGAGGAATTTTCTACAGGGTCATCTGCTGGACCTGCAGCAAGCACCTCGGCAGGTAAACTTCTGTTTTTGTCTTTACTTCTTTTACTTCCTTAATCTATGCATGCTCATATTGAATCATCTTCAAAGGTCATTTCCATTATATGGTTTATTTTATCAATTGTTGGTCAGAATCTGCTTAAAAATTTATTTTGGTTTCCTTTATATATTTGATTCATCTGTGTTATTGTGTTATGTGATTTTGTTTATTGTAGTATAGGTATGGTTCCATTTGCATTTGGTTCAGAAATAGTTGGATCCATAACTTGCCCCGCAACTCGATGTGGAGTGACTGCATT